CGGCTGCACCACCCCTTCCCTTCCCGGCGCTATCCTCCCAGAGTCTGAGGCCCGCGCCCAGTGCAGTTTTCCAGCTGCTGGGCCAGTGTTTGCGCCCTCGTTGGCCATGTGGGGTTCTGGTGCTCTGGGCACCGCGCACCCGCCCGTTAGGGCTGCCCTCCCCGTCTTCGCGCGGGCCCCCCTTGAGCTCATCCGAGGACGTCGCCCATGGGACCGCCTTTTCCCCGGTGTGGCGGGGGGGGTGCGCTGACTCCATCCTTAGTACCTGAAGCTGGGACCCCAAGTGCTTCCCTGTAGAAAGGCGGAATTCCAGACGGCAGTGCAGGCCAGCTCCCGTCCCACGCTGGCGCGAGGAGAAGGGTGTTCAGGCCCCGGACCTGGGCTCGGCCCGCAGCGTGCGTGGGTGTTAGCGGAGGGTGTTTTCCACCTAGGACGCCCCACCCCGGATGGAGCCCGGTGCTGTGCGTGGTACACTTGGAGCCATTAGGACCCCTTCGCTCGCTGGGCCTTCACACCTTGGAAGGACGCCCGCCCCCGTCCTGTCTGCCGTTCTCTCGGCCCGTCCCCTTCCTGGAAAGGCCCCTTCCGGTGCCCTCCTGCCCTGCGGAGCAGAACCCCACACTAGGGAATCCGGGAGGCTGAGCCTGGTTTCCCGTGTTCCCCTAGGCGAGCAGCCGCGTGGCCAGTGTAAACATTCCAATTTAGTTCGAGAGATCGTCTCGGCTTTCCATTACCCGCGCCAGCGAGGTCGGACACGCGCGGCGAGCACCGTGCCCTGCGCACCGTGCCCTGCGCACGTGCCCTGCGCTCCCTGCCCTGCGCTCCGTGCCCTGCGCTCCTGCCCTGCGCACCGTGCTCTGCGCTCCGTGCCCTGCGCACCGTGCTGTCGGCTGGACTAACGCACGTCCCCCTTCCTCCTCCCTGTGCCCTCCTGCCAGGCTCAGCGTGGGCAGCGCCCTGCGCGTGGCCGTGGGTGCAGCCAGGTGGCCCTGCGCCTCTGTGGGGCAGCAGAGCTGTGCATCTCAGCCTCGCAGGTGCGGAGGGGCCCCCACCCGGGTCCCCAGGGCCGTGGGGGTTAGGGGCGAGGAAGCCCAGCGGCGTGCGTCACAGCATAGCACCTGGAGGCCAATGCTGGCTGAGATCGCAGTGGAACGGAAACAGGCTGAGGTCAAGGAGGAGTTTCAGGCGGTAGCAGGGGCAGCAGGGGCACGGTGGGGAGGAGACCATCCCTCCCCACAGTGTCACTCAGACTGTGAGGTGCTTGCCCTTCCCAGAAGGTCCTGCAGCCCCTTGGTTCTGGGGAAGCCAGTAGTGCGAAGCGGATACAGAACAGCCGCTGGAGTCCAGTCCGCAGAACCGTGCCCTGGAGTCTCCCATCAGTGTCGGGGGAGTTCCACCAGGGCTCCAGGGCAGTGCCTCCCGGGGTCAGCATGCCCAGTGGAGTGGGGACGTCTGTTTTCTCTCTCTGTCCTCCAAGTGTTAACAGAGAGGTCACCCTGGAGAAGTCACCGTCCCCTCCAGGGCTCCAGTGAGCTAAGAGACAAGTCCCCTCATTGCTCAGCTTGAATGTCCTAGGGGCACCCCCGGTTCCAGAACCCAGATCAGACCCTTCACCCAGCATAGAAAGGCTGTCCTGGGTTCCGTCCAACTTCAGCCCCACCTCCTCCGCTCCTCAGAGGCGGTCTGTGCTCCCGCCTTCTGAGCCATCTCTGGCCTGCACACCCGTGCGCCTGCTGCCCTCCTGCCGGAGCTCCTTCCTGGCATCTGCCCGACCCTGCTGGGAGGACGCCCTCCACCCAGGCAGACCCTTGTTGCCTCCATGGTCATCAGCTGCCACCCTCCCGGGTCCCTCCAGCCCCTCTAACACAGGACCTCTGTCCTGTACAACGCTGCTGACCTGTTGGCCGCCTCGCTCACCATCAGCCCACAGCTCCTCACAGCCACCTTGGCCAGCTTTGCTGAGCGTGTACTAAGTGCTAGGCACTTCTCCAAGGCTGACACTTACTTGTTAACCCTGCAGTGGCGCTTTACTGGGGATGCTGTTATTTTCTCCATTTAAAAAATGAAGGAGCTTGGGCCAGCAGGTGGCATGGTAGTTAAGGCACTGGACTTCCACATGGTGGACTGCAGTTCGAGTCCTGGACCTGGTGGCTTGCTTTCTCACTCTCTCTCTCTCTGTCTCTCTCTGGTGAGTGTACATGCCATATAGCAAATTTTAACAAAATAATAATAACAAATAAAAATCAAGTAATTTAAAAAAAAAGATGAGTGTGCAGGGTCACAGGACATGGTGCAGCTCTTGCTTTTGCTTAATAGATTAGAATTTGATCCCAGGCACGCTGGCTCCGTGGCCTTCACCCACTAAGCCCACTGTCTCGTAGGCATGGACTGGGTCCCTAGACTGGGCACCCTGTGGGCACCCTGTAAGCCCCATGAGCTTGCTGAGGCCAGTCAGGCCTGAACAGGGCAGTCCAGAAGTGGGGGTGAACAGGACCGCATTCTCACGGTTGGCTGTCAGTTCTCCACGCTTCCTCAGCTGACCCGTCCTCCATCAGTGAGGGAACATGCTCTCGTCTTCTGGTTTAAACGCAGGTGTGGGGAGGAGTAGAAGCCGGCGGTGGCTGGCAGCTATCCAGACACACGGGGCCATGCAGTGCCCCAGGGAGACCTGGGCCCTTTGCCTGCCGCAGCTCCCAGTGCGACCTAGGCAGGCCCTCACCGCCCGCGCCCCTGCATCCCCTGACCTCATAGCTGCCCTGCGGGCCGGGATCGAAGACCGCCGTACACCAGCTCACTTCCGGCAGGTGAGGGTGGCAGAGCTGTCCCAGTTTTCTTTTTGGGGTATAATTTCTTGTCTACGAAGCTGCTAGCATCCTTGTCAATGAAGCTGATAGTATCTTTGTAGAAATCATTTTCAGTGATGAGCTTGATGTACTTTTCTGTTTTTTTTTCTATGCAAAAACGCGTCATGACGTTCCCGACGTCTGCTGTACACCTGTCGCATGGGCTTCCTTTCTGACGTGTCAGGAAACAAGTCATCTCTGCTCTCAGTTGGTCTAAGTGCTACAACTTCCTAAACCCAGCCCTGTGCTGGAAGCTGCTTTGTACCAAGAACAGAAAAGTCCCGAAGGAATGGTGAGGTCAACATTATCTTTGCAAAATGACATGTAATTAAGTCATGTCTGAGCGGGTCAGTGTAATCTGCCTCCTGTCATGATGGAGGGAGAAACCGTAGCGTGCTGCCCGGGGGAAGGCGTGCGGAAATGCCAGTGTGCAAACTCGGCGTGGAGACGCAGGGAGGCCTCCGAGCGCAGGTTCCGTGCTGGGGGCTCCCGGCTCAGGCCCCCTCTGGGAGGAGAGGCCAAATGAACGGACTTAAAACAGAAAACAGGAGGTTTGGGACATCTGGGGTATCTTCAAAATTCTCTGTAGTCACTTTAGGAGTTCTGCACCTCAAAAATGATCTGATTGGTCAAATTGGGGAGGGGTGTTTTCTAGCTCCCCGGGGGACGAAGTTTCCCAGGGTGTGTGTCAGCGTGCAGCAACCCTCGGAGTGTAGAGGCGTGACCGCAGACGATCAGGGCCTTCCTGTGTAATGGATCGTATCAGTGCTCATTTTTAAAGTTGTTTTGTGACAAAACTCGCTAAACCCTGTGGCCTCGTGTTTACTTTTCACATGTGAAGAGCGCCTGCATTTCTGGGCTCACCTCGTAAGGGACACGTTACAAACCCCCTTATCCTGACTCAGGCCGCTCTTGCTCGCCTGTGCCCATCTGGCCTGGGCGTGGTGCCCAGGCAGGTAATGGGGTGATCTTTCCCTTCCCTGCCCCACCCCCCAGTGTTTTCATAAAAAGCTTGCTCTGTTTTCTGTGTTTTTTTTTGGTTTACATTTATTTATTTCATGAAAAGAGGGAGAGAGAGAAATAAACACCACCAGCAGGACCCCGTGCCATGAGCCACGCCAGGCCCAGCAGCAGCGTGTGCACAGGGACTCCTGGGGACTCAGGCTGGCCCCCGGCAGGCCACTCCCTCTCCCCTGAGGACAGGACTTCCTCTGAACTCCGACCCCTGCTGCCTCCGTATTCTTTTTTTTTTTTTTTTTTTTTTACTGTGGGATGTGTGCATTAACCAGCGGGTGGGGATGAGTGGGACACTGCTCCAGGAGGATGGCTGCACTGAAGTCCCTTCTCCTCCCTTCTCCTCCTGGGATTTTGGGCACACATACATGTGTCCAGAGTGATTTCCTTTCTTTTTAAAAATAATTTTAATTTAATTTATTTATTATTCATCAATTTGACCAGAGAGAGAGAGAGGAGGAAATTGTGAAAGAAAATGAGAAACCAGGCCTAGGAATCGAGCCACAGTTGGCCGTGTGGGAGCCCCGCACTTTATCCACCATGCCACCCACCAGCCCCCAGCATGATTTTCAAGGGCTGGAACGACGCACCCAGCCACATAGAATCCTGCTGCCTTAACCACCACACCACCGGCTGGCCCAGAATGTTACTTCTCTGAGATCCAGTGTTTTTCACAGTGACTGTCCCTATTAGCAGAGACAGATATGTCCCATCCCATTTATCTCATGCTGTCCCATACACTCATACTCAGATACGTGTTCTGTATTCTAGATTCCCAAGTATACATAATCGATACATAAATTTGCTAGAAGGCCCAGAGAGAGAGAGAACCCCCCTGGGGAGATAATCCCTTCTGCTCCATTCTCGGGATTTTAGACACGCACACACATGTACCTAGCATGTTTTTCAAGGCACCAGGTACAGAACTCGAACCACGCAGTTGGCCATGTAGGATCCAGCCCCCTTAATCATCATGCCACTGGGCGACCCATACTGTGGTTTGTCTAAGAGTTCCCTTATTTGCCCAAGCCCTCTGGTACATCAGCAGCATACTGAGCTGCAGTGCTGCAGGCCACGTGGCTGACTCCGGTGTGGATTCCCGGCCCGTCAGCCTTAAACACACCAGGTGTGTGCACTGACGCCCTGACCTGACAAATGGGGACATTAGTGGAGGAGACTGCAGGTGACAAGACCCCGCTGAGTGCCCTCTTCCTCATCCTTCTGCATGCACGCACACGTGCCCTCTATCATGGATAATAAACAATTCTCTATTGTTGAACATCTCATTATTTACACGTTTTTATATTACAAATAATGCTGCAATAATAATGTGTCGATTCGTCATTGCACGTAAGTGTTTATAAGTTTCTGAAAGTCAAATTCCTGGTGCAAAAGGCTTGTACACATGGCATTTTTGGGTACAACTCTTATAAAAATCTTTTACTAGCTTCTGTGTTTTTCAATGTTAGAAACCAAACGCAGTTGAGATGCCTCTGCCAGGGTCCCCTGTAGAGAAGAATTTCTGGACACATCTAGTGAAATAGCTGTCTGTATCTATTCAACTATACTCCTTCAATTCTGAGATGTATATTTTTTCATTTTTTAACAGTTCTCAATTGGGGATGCATCGTAGAATGGACACATATAGGCGTGTCATAGTCCTTACCCAGAGAATCTATTAAATTGTGCCCCTTACACATCAATGGCATTTTGGAATCAGGGAACTAAGACCCTGTGTTTCATAAGCGTTTATGTGCGTGTGCCCTTTGAGTTCATTTGGGAATGATCTTTATGCTCATTTAATGATGAAAATATAGTTTTAGTTATTTTCCCATAGAAGCAGTCTTGAAAACCCGCAAAGTTTTTGCAGAAAATCCATTTTATCAATAAATACTGTTTTATCGGAGTCTGCTCTAGTGATTCAAAAGAAAACCTTGATTTACTAAAGAGCTTCATTTCAAGGAGAAATCTAGTCACCCACAGCACCTTGAGAAATACGAACATCGTGTTCCTTAGGGTTACAGAACTTAGGAGTGGGGCGAATCCCTGTCATTTGTAGGGAAGCCAACTTCCGGTGGCTCAGCAGAAGGTATGCTGTAGCTCGCGCTCTGCTGATGAATGTAAAGCCGTACTGAGTGCGTGTTGCCGGGCAGGAAGGCTCTGAGTCACGGCTGATGACAGCTTAGGCGCAGAGGCCGGCATGGCTGCCTGGCTGCTGGCATGTGGCAAGCTTCCACCCTGAGCTCCCTGAGGGCAGTCACTTCCCTGGAGCTTGGCCTTGGCACTCTGGTCCCTCAAGTCTGTTCCTCCCTTTGTGTTTAATTAGGGTTGAAATCTGCCTTTATCTTTGCTGTGTGTGCAGCTCAGCTTGCAGTCCCGCTCCCCACCTCCAGGCACCCCCACCCCCACTCCCACCCTCACCCCTCCCTCCAGGCACAGAGGCTCCTAGGTCATCAGGAATTGCTTTAAACAGTTGGCACTCCAGCAGTTGGTGTAATGGCTGTATCGCTGGACTCCCATGTAGTTGACAGCGCTTCGAGTCCTGGACCTGGCGGCTTAAACTCACACTGGGAGCGCGTGTGTGCATGCCTAAGATCCCGAGAGGAGAATGGAGGAGACGGCATTGCAGCGGGCCATCCCCCCCGGGTGTGATTTCTTGTTTTCTGTCTCTCTCTCTCTCTTTCTTTCGAGTGCACGCTCCCTATAGCAAAAACCTCTCCAAAAAAAAAAAAAAAAAAAGAAAGGGGAAAGAACCAAATTTCTTGCTTTCTGTCTGTCTTTCTCTCTCTGTCTTTCTGGTGAGCATGCATGCCCTACAGAAAAAAAAAAAAAAAAAACCCCCACAAAAAAAAAAAAAAAAAAAAAAGAGAGAGAGAAGGAACCAGTCGGCCCTCAGTAAGTGCTCTCAGCTGGGGGCCTCTTGGGCGTTTCTTGTGTCTCCCCTGATAGTGTCCGGGAGGGTGCCCGAGCCAGCGTGCTGCCGGGGCCTGTCTGACCCACGCCTGGGAAGATGGCAGGCCCTGCCCGAGCACCGAGCAGGCACGGCTGTGCTGGGCACCGTCCTTGGCACCAGGGGAGACGGGGACTGACATTTTCAGTTGCTTTTTGTGAAATCAAAGATCAAAGACCCGGCTGCCGTTTCCTCCCTGCGCAGACCGCAGCTTCCTTCCTCTGGGTGAAACCCTCTGCAGCACACGCTGCTCTGCTGCTCCGGCACCTCCTCACCGAGCGCCACGGCCACATTCGGTCACATGACGTTTCTGCAGGTGCCTCTGTCCCCCGAGTGGACCCCAGGCAGTCACCGAGCGGGCCAGCCAGGGTGTATTTTGTTTCCAGTCCTCGAGGGAAGAAAGACTGTGGAGGTCCTCGCTAGATTTCGGCCATTTTCGGTCCTGGGCCCTTTAGAGAAGCTGCTGAGAGCTGTGGGGGGCAGGGTGAGCACGTAGGAGGCCACCGGAGGCCACTTCTCCCCTAAGTGGCTTGTTTCAGCAGGTGTTCGGTGTGTCACCCGGCGACTCTGGAGATCGGACTGAACTGGCGTCAGCAGGGGCAGCCTGGGGGCGAGGTGCTGGCCCTGCTGTTGATGGGGGCATCAGTCTGGGCTGGGGGAGCATCTGAGTGCCCCCCAAAGGGACAGCCCCGGCTCCAGGACGTTCTCACACCCCGAGCCGCACCCTCGCCAAGAGGCCTCCGGATGGAACGGGCTGCTCCTGGACGAGCCGGGCGTTGGCCCCACGGAGCCCTGCCCGGCCCTCACCTGAGTGACCACTGATGCTTCCCAGGAGTGAGGCCTCCTCGTTTGACGCTGTTTTCCCACCCAAATATTGGGCCGTCGGGAAAAGCCATGGTATGTTTTTGCATAGAAAACACATCATGACTTTCCCGACAACCTAGCAGAACGAAAGCCGGGGTAGGCAGGTGCAGGCTACACTCCGACGGCCCTGAGCAGGGACCAGCCCAGAGCAGGCCCTCGGGGCTGCCAGGTACAGCCCGTCGGTGCCACCGCCCTGCCGAAGCACCATGGTGCTGTGGAGTGCACACTTGAAAGACACACACACACACACACATACACACACACATACATACACACACATACACACATACATACACACATACACACATACATACACACATACACACATACATACACACATACACACATACATACACACATACACACATACACACACATACACATACACACATACACATACACATACATACATATACATACACACATACATACATATACACATACACATACACATACACACATAC